GTCTAATTTCCGAACTGAAGGCAGGTATGCTTCAGTAATCAGGAGGTCAGAAATGGCAGGTAGCTTCTTGATGCACAGTTGAGCAGCTGTGAGGTTCGATGAGGACTCAAATTTCAACAACAGCAACAGCAGCAGCGTGCAAAGTTATACATGTAAACCGTTTCCAGTCATTGATTTGGGCACGTGTCCAGTGCACGGCCCAGTGCACTTCCAGTCCAATTACAGTCAGGCCACAAAGTTAATCAATTCATACAGTCATTTGGACTACGATAAGTCAGCTAGTGTTGCATAACAGTGGTGCCCTGCTAAATCACACTCTGCCAAAAGAAAAAAAAATCACAGTGCAAACCTGCACAGCATGCTGCTCCTGCTGCTGGCTTGTACTGCACCACATCCAGCCAGCCCTGCAACTGGAGTTTTAACCTATTATTGAGCCAGTCTTATGCAAACCACATTTAACTACAAACAACAGCTCAGGGAGGAGGGTTTCTAATGCTTTTCTTCCCCCTGGTGCCGTATTGTAAACACCGCCCCCCCCCAAAAAAAAAAAAAAAAAAAATACAAGTGAACTAACATCTGCTCAGCTAATCACACAGTGTCAGGCACTTGTCCCAGTAATTGTTCTGTTTTGATTTTGGTGTACTGATGAAGACTGAAGCTTTGTGTGAGCCCCTCATTTGCACCTTTCACTATGTTTTTCTAGCTCCTGCTGGGCATTTGAACACATTTAGCCTTCTAGGATCTTTTGAAAGTGAGGCAGAAGTTGGACATTTAGGACACCAAACTAAAAATTTGTCCAGTTGTATCTGTTCGCTTTGTCAGTAGCAAACAAGCCACTTCTGACTTCCTCCTTATCAGTATTCTACTCGAGTGTATGTACCGTGTAAACACAAGCAAAGCAACGACTTCACCTTACCTCCTCCCAGTGCCGATAAAGACAACTGCTGAACTAAGCACCAGAGCCATTGAGGGACTGAAAGAAGTGGCCAGCGTAAGGTGACATATTCAACTTTGAGAATGTCTATCAAACATAGCACATGCCCAGCTTTCAGTTTCAGCCGAGTTCTTTGAGTTGCAAAGCTAGCCTGGCCGGGTATCCAGGAATACATCAATGAAATACACAGGAAACAGGCAGTGAGAGAGGAAAGGCTGGGAAAGCAGCCATGTTTGTTATTAACCAGCTCTATCTGGCCTTTGCACCTGGAGCAACATGGAAAAAAACTATGGCCTATTTTATCAGAGAGCATACTATTGCACCCCGGTTAGACTATTTACAACATATATTTATATTTATAGAGAGAGAGACAGAGAGAAACTAACAGTATTTGCTCATTATAATATTGACTGAGGTACTAAAAAAAATATATATTACAAGACAAGTGAGTAGGACATTCTCCTGCACACTTCAGTCAGTCCACTTGAGGCTATTTATCTAAAAAGTCATCTGAACCTTACAGACTGAGCCTTTGGTCCACAGTGGTCTCATTCTTCCCTCTCAAACAAGAGCAAAAAATCAACTCACAGAGTGGAAAGAGATTCCCTGGTTCCTAAAGCAAAGGATGTGGAATTTTGGAACCATATGAGAAGAGGGGAATTTCGGTACAGGAAACAAAGCACAACACGGACTACAGCAAGCGTTCTTCAACTGGTGTTGTTAAATAGAGTTCTGGGGCAAACCTTACGCAGCGTTTTGTTGTGCCAGCATTCCAGTTTTACTACACGTCACATGGTAAAAGGCTCCTGAACATAATAATACGATCGTAAACATGAACAAGAATGAGGATAAGCTGATCAGACCTGTCTACGTATTGAGATCTGTTCTGAGATCAGCCGTGGCAGAGCCCTTGCGCATTCCTGCCTGCTTCTCAGATTTCGGTCCACAGGAGGGGGGACAACGGCAGAACCTCTGCGGTTTTTGTACGTGGAATTATTTTCCAAAGCTGCCCACATAGTCTCTGTATGAGGCTCGGGCCTGCAGCTCTGCTTGATGTTTGGATTCTTGTCTGAGTCTGAGTTCTGTAATCCATTCCAGAGAGAGTGTGCAGGCCAAAAAGAGACAGTGTAGCAACTGGCAGACATGTCGAGACAATACCAAGCACGTCGCTGCTGTGTGGCAGCGGAGATAGCCTGCAGCAACACATCATCATCAGAATCCCTAGTTTTCATTATGGAACATTTCACTTTTTTTAAGTGGTTGTTTACCAATCCTTCTTCTTATTTTTTAAAAGCTTTCTCATCTCTGTCCCACGTCAGACTATTTTCAGCCTGTGTGTGAGGTTCGATGGGAGCAGAAAAGGGGAATTACACAGCGTCTGATCTCGGCATGACTGTGGGTTTTGGTTTGGGTTTGAGAGTTGGAAGCAGGATGACAGAAACCAGAGAGGTCTCTTTAGTTTATGAATGCAGTGTATATTGTAACAGACCACCAAACGGAGACCAAACCCTTCAGTCAAGGTCAGAGCCCAGCCAGCTTGCAACACCTTCCACCTGTCCCACCGCTCAGCCTCCCAGGGTCGGCGATCTCCCACACCAATAATTACAGTGCGTCCAAACCGCTGCACATTTTTGCGAGGTCAGAAACTTTGCGTCAGGTGGGATGGAGAAGGGAGTGATTTCCTCTTTGTCTGGACCCATTTACTCTGTGACAGAGCTCTGAAAGGGGATTACATCATCACTATTGTGGCTTCCGAGCCCTCTGCTTTCCTCCGCCGGGTGGTATAAAGTGGACTGTCCCATCCAGACAAAGACAGAGCATTCCAACAGTTTAGCAAGCAGGAAATTCAGACCCACAGTCACACCTCATTAAAGTCAAACTCATCAACCTCTCAGTCACCAGCAAAAAAAAAGACACTTACTCTGAAGAATCATCAGAGGCCATGTTACCATCAGATCATTTGACTTCTGACTATGAGCTGACTAATACCAGTCAGACACTTCACTCGTAAAAACTGAGGAAGCTTCCCCTTTCTTTTTCTTTATTTTTTGTCAAATCTGTTACAAAAGGTTCTGTCAACATCCAGGAAAAAGTGACTCATGTAGGAGGGAAAAAAGAAAAAAAAATCAGCCTTGTAACTGACATTGACCACATTGGTACACCACTTTTTATCCAGGGATGCATCTCAAGGTCTGTTTATTTTGCTGTCCAGTGAGAGGTGTGCGCAGGCGTCACAGTCTCAGAAATGACTTTGTGACGGTAAGAGTCACCACACCACAATGAATAGATTTCAGTCAGTATCTACTTTAAGAGTGCTGATGCACTTTGAACCTGAGCATTAATGAAAAAAATAATAATAATACTAACCTCATCTTTCTTTGTATAATATAAACAGTTAATTTAAGCATGTTATGAAGACCACTTAGCATATCTGCAGCGCATACATTCCAGAGTAACAAATTATAAATCAGCACAATGCTCCTCTTGTTGTTCCCTTTTATCTTTGCTCAAACTATTCCCTCCGAGCCAATGCACAGGAGACAATGATAACATAAGCTCAACTTAGCAACAGGAAGCATCCTTGTGTGAACGTGCGGGCACGTTATAGAAAAGACCCTACTGCGAATGAAGAACACCAACAATTGTTGTGCGAGAGATGCAACACAAAGTGAAAATAGCAACACTGTCCTCCAGTAATAAAACAAGGGGAGGACTACGTATGCTGATAAGAAACATGAGAAGCAGAGACTCTGCTAAACAAGCAGAGTTATCTTTGTGCATCTATTCTGAAAGTAGTCTCACCCAAATCTTTGGGCAGATCTTATCAACTGAACTAGCCTCTCATCCCCAAATGAACCGTTACAGGCCCACACAGTGAAAGAAATAAAACAGAGCAAGTAATTTTTCCCCATCCAACAAGATAATTTTCATCATCTATAATAAAAATAACACTAGAAAAAAGCAAGAAGCAATCCAATGTATTTGCAGAAGGCAAAAAAGGGACAAAACTGAGAGTAACTAAGCAGTAAAAGTGGAAGTGAAGCTGTATGATCAGTCATGCCAGCCACAGTGGGTCAGCTAAGCTTATCAAGAATGCTAAAAATCCCAGATCCTTGCCCAAAACCAAACTACAAAGTTTCCCCTTTTTTCACCTGACTCAAGTTGTCCAACTGCAATAAACACTGCTTCTGTAACACACGCTCACACACTATGATTCAGTTATGAGCAGCCACCCCTCTATTGTATTTAATTTCCTACCTGCTTACTTGTAACTGTTTCACTGTAGTTGATATTTTGTAAAATATGGCCCCCTCTGGACACAACGCTGCCCTGTGAAAGTAAACTCTGAAAGGTTAAGGTCTGTTTGTCTCTGTCAAAACAAAACTCCCAGCCCTTCATTACCAGATCTTTCCTATTCACACGCGCTGCTGCCACCACTGCACTGGTGTGCATGCCCCCTGTATTCCAAAACAGCCTATGTGAGCACAGTTGGACACAGAGGCTGGAGTGCACTCCACACATCCACATCAGGCAGAAATAAACTGATAATCTCATCAAGAATGGCACTGGATACTCAGTGTGGAGGGAGGGGGGCATGACTTGCAGAGAGCCCTGGTGGCCTAATCTATACAAGCAGATGCTGAGCCAGGGCAGGCTGTAAACAAATCTCTCAAGACAGATGTGGCAATCACCTGGTGCCTGACAAGCCTTCTCGTGTGGTAACAACGCGGGATACGCCACCTCGGAATTTTTTTTTCCGGGTGGTGACAGACGTATATCCTCCAGTATGCAACGGTGTGGCTTGAACGATGCCACCTGTGAATCGCAGAGAACAATGCCCTTGACATACACGGCGACGCAGCGGATATGTTTTGACAGCCACCCTGATAGCCTCACTTCGCCTCACCACGCCAGCCCCTTTAGTTCTAATAACAACAATAATAACACTAGCACTGCGCACTGGCTTTCCCCCTGCACCTTCACACAGCACGAGGATGTGCTTTGTCCTCCTCACACAGATGTTAGGTGCAGGCACCCCCGCGCATGACTTCGTAACGCCACTCACCTTTTCTCATAGTGGTTGTCACACAACACGAAGCAGTTTTGCTTTTCTTTCTTTCCTCTCCTTCCTTTTGTTTCAACTCGTAACAAGGTGCTCCAAGTCCGAGACATAAACTACGCAGCAGCTCTGTTGGCTGCCCTCGCGGGGGGGGGACGACACAAAAAAAACCCCGTGCTGGCTCCGGTTCAGACCGAGGACGGCCCGACGTCTTCCTCTGAACAGCAACTTGGAAGTTTGATAGAAAGTTACGGCTTTGCCTCGCTGCGGTATGCAGCTGCTGGAGGGATGAGATCATTCAGGCAGCCTCCCCTCTCCCTCTCACTCCCTCTCCCTCTCTTTTCTGCCCTGGAGTCTCGCGAGAAGGCTTAGCGGGGGGAAAAGCAAACGTTGCCGTGGCAACAGTGCTCACCTGTAGTGAGTGGATGGTCAGAGGAGAAACGAAGAAGTCTCACTCTGCTTCAAGTGACCCCAAGTTAAAAAGTACGCAGTTTATTCAATAGCAGATGAAACTTGTCATGTTTTAGCCCAAAAGTCTTTAAGCTCGCTCCAGTCACACCGCTCGTGCATGTTTACAGCTGCGGAGTTTAATGTAAAACAGACCATTAGGTTTGACCTTTGAACCATTATCTAAATCGACTTCAGTTTCAATTGTTTCAAATCATCAGTCAAATCTGATTGGTTAAACAAAAAGCCCTTTTGAGTTTATGACGTATCCACGTTGCAAACTGTGTATTGCGACCTTCAGCCCACTGTTGCAGGGTCAGTGTGCAATTTTAAAAGCATTTAATTGAATTGGAAAGCTATAGGAGTCCATATTTTTTTAGTGTGTTCAGAGTTTTTACTAAAGCTGTCTTTAAACAAACTTTTAGAGTCAGGAATGCCTGCTGGAGACAGATTTTTCACGTTGATGTACGCACTACGGTCACTTGGACAAAATATACATAACAATTTGACGATTTGAGTGAGCCCTGCGACAGACTGGCGACCTGTCCAGGGCGTACCCCGCCTCTCGCCCTATGACAGCTGGGATAGGCTCCAGCGCCCCCCGCGACCCTGAAAAGGATAAGCGGAAGCGAATTGATGGATGGATGGATGGAGGGAGAGTTAGTCACCTGTTGAAAATAACTGATCTTTGGTGATATTTTTCTGCAAGCTGTGAGTAGATGGGAGCAGTGTAGAGGGTTTAAGGAGAGGCCCCTTGCGCTGCTACTCTAATATTTGCTTCTCCCCAACAGGCGTGAAGCTTTTCCTTGCAGTCACACTGAGGGAAATCAAATGCCCTGGCGCATCACGACAGCATGGATATGTAAATATAATATGCAACGAGACTAAGTATTACTACAATAACCACAGCCACTATAAGTGGAAGTAAAACCCGTGAAAAGTATCACTTTAGTGTTTCTAAATGTACCCACCTGCCATGAGGTCACCGTGTGGCCTGCTGTGCTGACGTAGATGTCAGCATATGTGCACAAAGCCCTGCGCGAACCTGCAAAGCAGGCTTTGCAAACAGTGCAGACTTTGCATAAAAAGCTAAAGCTGCATGGCAGGTCATAACACAGCTAACGAGGTCACCTACATGGATGACTTTGGGTTTGTCTTAAGGTGTCACTGTAGTGATAAAGCATTCATGTAGCTGCATGGTTTCAGCATGTTTTTACTTTAAAAATGTAGGTCTGGAAAATTAGTGTGGGAGGCTCTGAGATAATTTTAAAAAGGGATTCATCGGGCAAGAGGATGCATAATTAGAAGATTGCGCTGTGAATTATTTGAAAGGGTGTTTCAAATAATTCCACATCCTCCCCACTGTATTTAAAGCTTCATTATTATGCCTACTCCAGCTCTATTTTGGTCGTGCTTACATCAGTGGAGCGCATCTTTATGTTTATATATGGTCCAATTAAAAATCACACCTCAGTGGGAGACGAATTGGGTTTGAAGGTTTTATTCCAGTGCAAACATTATGTGTGTGTGATGAATGTTAATTCACGAGAGAAGTTTAGGATTAAATCAGCAGCACCATCTGCTGGACGAACAGGAAAAGAACAAGAAACAAAAGGATGTGATTAAAAAAAAACAAACAAAACATCAAAGTGATCATTTGCCTCATGCATAATGTACATATATGTAAACTTTTAACTACACTGTTCATTCATCCACAACTGTTAAGCACTTATAAGGCCTCCGATGATATTCCCTTATTCTTTTTTAGAACATCACCCTCATTTAATAAGACTCAACGGTGTGGAGGACAGCATGACAGCTTTGAGAGTTATGGATGAGAAGTCATTAAGAGATGGAGGCTATTCTTAGGTCTTAGTTAATCTTAGCAGTCTTTGAATGTCAGGCTCTATGTCAATGGTGGGGAATTTTTTGCTGTATCGCTTAAAGGGTTCTCCCTCTGGCCCAATGAGGAACTTCTCAAAGTTCCAGGAGATATCCGTCCTGCTGATGGGGCTCCAAACCAGAAATTTGGGGTCCTGAATGAGAGAATTTGGGTCGTCATCGGGATAGGGGAGTTTGTCTTTCAGATAGGCGAAAACTGGGTGGGTGTTTGTTCCATTGACGTCACACTTCTCGAAGACTGTAAAGATGGGCTTGAAGCCTCCGCCTGGACGCACGTGCTGCAGTGAATTCAGGATTTCACCATTGGTGCAGTTCTCCTGCAGAACACAAGCATTCATTGGTTTAACTATGATAGCGAAGATGATTAAAATCCTACATCAGTATCAAACCATCAGTACCAGATACAGTTTGCACACTATTAAATGATGCAATTCCTGTAACTTGCTTTAGGAAAGAGTAAATACACTAATGCCAATAATACAAGTCAGACTTTAACTGAAACCTGAGCCAGGTAGGCTCGGGAAAAGGAAAATGTCTGTGAAGTGGTATTTATGTATTTGAAACAGAACTGGAAATTTTACTGTAGATTTTAACAATATCACATAACTGGTTAATGAAGTAACACATTTTAGAGGTTTTTAAGTGACTTCAAACTCCGCTGCTGAACTCACCTGATAGCCAAACTGATTGCAAGGAAAACCCAGGACCACCAGCCGATGGGGGTACTTGCTCTGCAGCTGGTTGAGCTCATGGAAGTCCCGGGTGGTGGTTCCTCAGAGCGAGGCCACATTCTCTATGAGGACCACCCGTCCTCTGAAGACGTTGAAGTCCACCGAGTCTCCCTCCAGCGTGGTGGCCCTCAGGTCGTAGAAAGTCTTCGCGATGAACGTCATCTCGTCCTCTGGTTCTGCCACAGTGGAGGCAGAGGGGATCTCGAGCTGTCTGTATCCAAGCGCTTGGTCACCTGATTCATTTAGGGCAGAAAGTTGCCTTTGACAAGGATCAAATGGCCCTGCGGGAAAGTGATCTCCATCTGCCATCCTATACTCTGAAGAAGTCCGAAATAGATTAATGTAACTAATTGTATCTTCTTATTAGGATAAGATTTTTAAAGTTTTATCAAGTAAACTGACTTTCTTGAAGTGAATGTAATTATATTCTCAAAGAGTGTTTTAGGGATAAAACTTGCACGTGCTACCCTACTTTACGGCATCTCTGTGACATGTATCAGTTTTCTCTGTCATCAAAAATTTAACATGATCCCCCGTCTTTCACAGAGGGTGATTAAAAATGAATGAATCTGTCTGAACTCTTTCAGGACTTGACTTCACTCCTTGCATTCTAATGTAATGACTCAGCAAGGTCCCGACACATCTCATTAGCTTTAATATGAAAACTTTAATTTATTAACCCGTACAGTGGTTTTGTTATTTATTTTTTTTTGTAACAACCTGCACATATCATTTAAAAAAAAATTACATACAAGTGGCAACTTGGCAGAGCCTGAGTACATTACTTCAAAGAGCGGTAACACTCCTTTAGCACACAATGCCAATCACATTTGTAACGCAAATGCACACATTCGTGATGATAATGCATGAGCAAGCATTCGAGGCCTTCGAACATGGCACGACAGAGTCTCCGTCAAAGGAGGATAGTGAATTATGTAAATAACTCCACCCCTGCTGGGTTTGAATTTCGAGGTGTAAATAATTCAGCTCTGTCCTCCGGCTTCTTCGTCATTGCCTCCATCCTCTTCCTCCGCCCTCCTCAAATAAATGATTGTTGATTTGAATCCACAATTCACCTACAGCACCAACCAAACTATTCAATTTTAAAAAAAAATATTAACAAAATGTGATGAACAAGTGACGAAGCAGGTGCTCGGTGCAAACCTGTATTTTAAAGGAAGAAATTGTGGGTATGGATAGTTTTATTAGACAAAACCGTGTTCTCCGGGAACCTCACCAGCTTTAAGATTCAGTGATCATGGAACAAAATTGGCCCCCTGCTGGTAGCTGCTTCTAAATGCATTTAACACAGTGTGATTAAAAAGAAAAACGTACAAAAAGTGAAACCCCTTCATTAAACCCCTGGGGCAGCAAGTCACCGCATCTACAAAGAGGGCAGAGGGGGAGCGAATCAAGTCAGAGCGCCTTCAACTATAAGCTGTGGCACCATGATGGTCATCTTGTTTCTAACAGGCGCAGCTCCTCTGAGGACAGTGAGGCACTGTGCTCTCTTTGTCTTCCTCCAGACCTGCCTTATCCAGATAGCTGTCCAGAGATCCCAACAGGTGGTCCACGTCCCTCTTGTGAGCCTGTAGCACGAGTTCTGTCAGACGTTCGAATGACTGGAGGAAGAAGGAAGAAAGAAAACAAAAGAATGCGGCAGGGAATTACCTAGAAAAAAATGTTGCCAAGAAAATCCACTACCTCACTGATGTTGATATTCTTGGAGGCACTGGTTTCAAAGAACTCCATCCCATAGGATCCTGCTAACTACAGACAATTGAAGTGCATATTTTTAGAAATAATAAAACTATTTTATACCTTTTTTCTCCAAAACTATATAAATATAATTTAAAAAATCAATTAAATGCAAAAGCGATACTCTGGCACAATAATACTGATTAAACAGCACAGGGTGTCAACAGTGTGAAGATTTATACATATTATGCACTTGCATGGATGTAGGTGTATCCTTCAGGCTTTGCTGTGTGCTGTCTTAATATTATAACATGCAGTAAGAAGTTTATAAAAAGTTCATCTTATCTAGTGATATGATTTTTTTTTTTTTTTTAAATTCACTAAATATTTTAAACGTGAGAGGAAGCGTTTGTCTGTCTCAGCCTATCCAGTTGAACAGTATTCTATTTTAAGAGACATGCTGGTATCAGCCATTAGTTTTTGGAAGCTGGGACTTTGATAGTAGTGCCTCTAAAAGCCTTTTCTCCCTGAAATAAGTTATGCTACAACCATATTGCATATTTTCTCAATAAAAGTTCTTCTCCAATATGCAAAAGTCTTTTTTTTAAAACCTCAAAAATAAAGTCAACATTATTCCCAACATGAGAGTCTAGTATAACTGAATATTTTGTAGTATTTAGTATCTATGTCTGTGAAGGTTCTCAGTCATCCAGGTCATCGTAGTCAAAGGAGCTTGCAAAGAAAAGCGTCTGGACTTCTTTAAGTTACTTGAAGACGTTTCACCTCTCATCCGAGAAGCTTCTTCAGTTCTAAGGTCAAATGGTGGGGAGTCCCAGATATAAACCTAGTGGGAGTATCCCCCCACAGAGGGACAAAAGGACCCCCTGATGATCCTCTAATCGCCTGAGCCAAGGTGTGAAACTGGGTGTGGGTCCCAATCAGCCAGAGTTTTGGGTGAGTTCATTGTGAAACCTGGCCCCACCTTATCATGCGAATTCCTGAGGTCAGATGGCCCAGGATGTGAGTGGGCGTTAAGGCGTCTGGGAAGGGATCTCAAAACTGGATTATATCCCACTATATCTGGGACTCTCCACCATTTGACCTTAGAACTGAGGAAGCTTCTCGGATGAGAGGTGAAACGTCTTCAAGTAACTTAAAGAAGTCCAGACGCTTTTCTTTGCAAGCTCCTTTGACTATTTAGTATCTAGATGGTCCTGGTCTGTGTGAAGAGCTCGGAGGAACGTTCATTCTGATGAATGACATTTGGCCGTAATTCATCGTCTAATTTAACAGGGTCAGAAAGAGTTCATATTGGTGTTTCTACAACGTGAACAACTACTCATCACACACAAGATCTGTACGACCGTCTGGATTTTATTTCAAAGCGTTTTAAAGTCTTCACCGTGTCTTTGTGGTAAAAAGGCCTGAGGCTGTCTGAGCAATAGAAACAACTAAGAGCCTGCCAGCACAGAGATAGTTGTGCGCACACTTCTCGAATCGAGCTGCCAAGTTGCCCGACAGACAGGTTGAATTTGTATGCAGTGTGTGGATTGTTTGTGTAGACTGTGTTTCGAGCTGATCTGGCAGCTTAAGTGACATTTATGAAACACACAAAGCTTTCCAGCGCAGGTATTACAGTAATCATCATCAAGTTTAAGGAAGTTTCCTAGAAGAAACTGGAGGCTACCAGAAGACTGACTTACAATATGGGACTAATGTATATTACGATGTTGAGTACTTAAAACACAATCTCCAAATTAAAATCAATAATATACTAATTAAAGCACAGTGGAAAATAAGGCTCAATCAAACCTTGGTTCCTTGGTTCTTTGACACTTCCCTCCTGAGTGATTCATCACATTTGTTTCCTACCAATATGGTCTCCATTTTTTGGGTAGTATACTAGAAGAAAACAACAACAAAAACTGAAGTCAAGCACAGGGATAGTGGACTTCATCATCCTGTCAGTCACTATAAGCCACTGATTGTTTAGCAAGCAGCTAAAGTTCAGTCAGCCAGAACACAAATACTGGACAGCTGCGAAGGGCAGCGAATGAGTGCTTATTGCCTTACTTCATCCACATCACTGACCCACTTGGCTATGTGCTTAAAGGACAGCTTGTCTGTGATGTCGTAGACAAAGATGACACCCTGCATAAAAAGTGGAAAGAGGACTAAGGAATCAAAGCTGCGTTACAGTAATCTAAGTTTACTCTTGGCTGCTCATACTTGCGCCCTCCTGTAGTACTGTTTGGTGATGGTCTGATAGCGCTCCTGACCAGCTGTGTCCCTGCATGGAGGACCAAACACATATCAGCAAAAGGGAATCACCCATGGCAGCAAGCGTGAATGCAATGAAAGAAAAATGTCACTTACCATATCTGTACTCGCACCTTGGTTCCATCTACCTCCAGTGTTTTCATCTTAAAATCAATTCCTGACCAAAACAAAGAAAACGCAAAATACAGATGTAAGCTGGGATGCAACCTTCAAAAATACAATCACAAACTGGCAACAAATGTCACTGAGGTTCATTGAGGATTCCTCGGAGATACCGTTATCTAAACTGGTGTAAACGACACTGAGGGATTTCTGTGCTAGGAGACAGAATAAAGGTTTGCAACGTAACTTTGCTGGTTTCTATTCAAGCAGTTCTTTTAATCTACTTCTTATTTAGTTTTCATCATGCCAGCAAAGCCAAAATCCACTCAAAGACAAACATGAATTTCTGATCCTACACTATGTACAGTCATGTTAAAGACTCTCTGCAGTCCTGTGAGGAAGTGTACTCAGATGTACTTAACTGATCATCAGCAAGTGTCATCACATCTATAAAACCAGAAGTTCTGAAAGGTTTGCTGATCTGTTGCATATCCCAGAAGTGGATATCACGGTAAGTTTAACCCGAGTTCAGTGGCAAAAAACAAACAAACCCTGGAGCTACATCTCAGACCCTACATGCCTAAATTAGCATCTGTCCTAGGGCCAGTTTAGAATCACCAATTTGCCAGCCATGCATGTCTTTGGACTGTGGGGGGAAGGCAAAGAACCTGGAAGGAACCCATGCAGGAACAGAGAGCCCAACCAGCCAGTAGCTTTGAACACAAGACATTCTTGCTGTAAGAGGCAGCAAGAACCCAGATCGTACTAACCATCGCACCTCCAATGTCTTTTGGACAAACCAGACCAAGGTGGAGATGTTTGGCCATGATGCACAGCACTACATTTGGCAAAAAACAAACACAGCATATCAGCACAAACCCCTCATACCATCTGTCATGCACGGTGGTGGAGGGGTGATGATCTGGGCTTGTTTTACCTGGGCACCTTGCAGTCATTGAGTCGACCATGAACTCCTCTGTATACCAAAGTATTCTGGAGCCACATGAGATTATTGGCCCGACAACTAAAGCATGACCGAAATTAGCAAATTCAATAGGTTCTGTTATAGTCCAATGTGCCAATAAGCCATGACACTACAACTATGACGACTATACTACTGTCGATATATCTTGCAAGAAAAGATTAATGAAAAGACTGAAGAGATCCTTTCATTTGGCTCATGTGATGGATATTTATAAGATTTTTTGACACTAGTGGCATGATTGAAGTTAGAATAGGAAAGAAGTAGAGCAGGGAAAAAAGGAAACGTGTGATTCTGATCAATTGGACAACTTGGAATCTGTTCTCTGTTTCCTTCTATATTTGGCTCTGCTACATTTAACATTAAACCCTGAACAGTTTTTGTTTTTTTCCTTTCCGTTACGCTGCCACCACACTTTGTGGAATCAATAAACTCTGTGTAATCCAATCCCAACATTGTGCTCATAAAAAAGTTTTCTGTCAGGCATTTCATATGATCATTGACCATAAATACATTTTTGTTGGCGATGCAGCTTCCTAGTCCAGTTTGAGTGAAATGAAGAGGTGCTACTGAATCTGAAAATGCACCTACTTTACATAACAATCAAATCCCGATCTCACTGTTTTCAGTGTCTGTGAATGAGCTCCTCCTGTAGCCCGTTTCTGTCTCGCCTTAAGGATGGCTTTCCTCTTTTTGCAATTGTTCACTTTTATCATGTAAGAATCTGCGTTTATGTAATATATGCAAAGCTGTCCATTCATCCTGCATATCAGTATCCTTTTGTTCCAGCGCTTCTCTCACTGCCTGATGCAGATCTAAAGGCACGGCTGGTGATTTTCTTTTAGCAATGATTTCATCATCAGACACTATTCCAAATATCCAAATCCCATGTAAAGCCTTTCCACTCTGCATTTTCTGGTGAGACTTGACCCTGATTATGCTCCACAGTCTAACAGGTAAAGAGGGTAAACAGGGCCTACCACATTTTGTTCCAACTCATTAGTATGTGACACAATCAGGAAAAGTGGCAGTACTGATATGAAGCACTAATGGCCTCATCAATCCGCAAGTTCCAATCAAGGGGAAAAAATATAAGATAGCATATCAAATAATTTGAGTGCAGAAGAAATAATCGTCTCCCTTCCCATTTCCAGTACGCTCGTGACAGAGACGTACTTTATCAGACCTCTTCTACGTGTCTAACCTTTAATTAAACAAAAACATTACATCTAATACTTTCATTGTGCTTTAGCGTGGGCAACATAAAGCCTTCACGGCAAACTTTCCCATGTGAGGCTGTTTGAACTTGAGGCCCTTTAATCCTATAAGTAGGCCCACTTTTATATTCTGAACAAATGGGAAAGCTAAAATAAAATGCTCTGAATGTTAAAACCCTGCATCTACATTCATCCAGAGAAAAGAATTTCCCGGTGTTTAACTGGTTCAACCTGTGGAAAAAAACTGATATGATGAGTTTTGGAGAAAGCTTCACTGAAAACCTGTTGGATGGCTTACCGATGGTGGAAATGTGTGTAGTGTCAAAGTCACTTTCCGTGAACCGGCGCAACATGCAAGTCTTCCCAACCCCCGAGTCTCCGAGCATGAGCAGCCGGAACAAGAAGTCGTACTGTTTAGCCATGACCCAAAACTAAGCGATGATGAAAAAACATGCCTGTCTGATGCGGCGCTTGAAACTGGCTGCTTGTCCTCTGCTTTGGTGACGCGTTCAAGGCCCCTCGGAAACTTTCATGCTGAACTCAAAGAGCGCCACTTGATGCACTTTACAAAGGCAGATATCTTGGAGCGTTTTTCTAACATTTCTGTGGTTCGTCGTGTGCTTTACTATCACCTTCAGATATTTCAGTAGTACTTCACCATCCTACATGTCGTTCTTGGTTACGGCTGCAATTTCCTACGGCACTAGAAAGCAGCACACAACCTGCGTCTTTGAACGTTGTTTCCTGTAGAGGGAGCGTCAGGACACATCACACTGGCCCAAGTCTAAATTCAATATTTAAACAATGATTGATGTCATTTTATGTCGCAAATAAAAGTTTATATGTTCCTCGATGTTCATATTTTCTACTTTATCTTTAAATATGAGTGAAAAGACAAACACATATATCTCCGTGTGTGATCTAGGAACATTTAAAGGTTTATTTCTACCAAAGTTTCAACAAATCCTTCTTATCATTTACCTTAATTCCATCAGCAAATTCTGATTCTCAAATCCTATTAAACCTGTCAGATTATTGAATTAACTGGCTCTTTAACTAAACCTGCATTTAACACCAAAAAAAAGGATGCTGTTGGGGATGCCTAATGTGCAAAAATCAGGCTATTTTTTTTACATTAAAAACACAGGAGTCACAAATTCATCCAAAATGGATAAAATAGTTTATTTATAGTTTCATAATAAAGGTATGCCTTATCTTGCAAGACAACCGTTGGCAGTATGTACAACATACCTGTAATTTCCATGGAATGGAACAAACAAATCTTATAAGGTACACACTAATTTATCTCTGCAAAAAAAAAAAAAGAAAGAGAAACATTCCCAGCACAGGCAAATCAAAGGGAAGGCTTTTCTTTGCAGAAACGACACCATTTAAGAGTATACAGTGTTATATACCACACACTGAAAAGGAACTTCCATCGACAAAAATAAAGGACAATGCCTTTAACTGCATTGTGCAACATTCAATATCAATGAGGGGATTTTTTAACCACAATTTATTTAAAAATATTAAAAATAGAGCAAAATAAATAGCTGAAAGTTTGAAATATCAAGCCAAACATAATGGGAGTTCAGACATCAGATTATATAGGTATATAGATATAAGGGTAAGAAATTCTTCTTGGTGCATGACTATAAATAGAGGGATTTCTTTGATTACACAACATTTCAAAAGACAAAACTTTTAGCCAACTACACAGAATAAGGAGGGCTGCATTTTGCATAACAGACAGGGTTTGTTTTTCCAAAAGCAACTTCACATTCTTTTCTGGAAAAATATTAATATTATTATTATTAAAAGGTAAGGTATTCCTACCCTTACCGTTTGTCAAAAGTCTCACACCTCCACTGGATTGGAGAGGTTGACCAAAACAACCAATAGGGAAAGGTTATTTTTGTAGCTTTACTCAAGTCTTGTCATCTCCACATATATGAATGGTTATTATGAGGTCTGAAAGGCTAAAGTCCTTCAAATCTGCAGAGCTGCCTCAATTTGGGGATTTTTAACTTTGTTGCTGGGCCACGAAAGGAGTGACAGGATGCTTGCCGGAAGGATAAAAGAAGGTAGAAGCGTTTTATACATAATAGCACCTCTCTCACACACGATCTCCACCTCGTCTCCTGGGCTAGCGCAAGAAGGCAGGGCTCAGTGCGGACAAGAAAGAGGAGCTGGGGCTGGTGGGTAAAAAGAGTCTGTCTAAGGAGCCGGGGTCCACCCAAATCTAGCTTAGCTCCAGGCGCAGCTTCTTCCTGTTTGGTGTCTCGTCTGATTCTGATTCAGAGCTGGAGTCGGACCCGCCATCAAAAGCGGACACGGCGCTCCCTTTGCGGTTTGTGTACAAGCTGCTATCGGAAGAGTAGTTGGTCTGGAGCTGAGTGTTCCCCTTGGCCTTCTCAAGTGCACGAACTGCAAGTCGTACACAAAGATAGAAACAAACGTTGTTTACGACATCTGAGATTGAATCCACGTGACAAAAATGTGCGAAACTTATTTAACAAGAGCACCCCTTACCCTGCTGCTCCAGCACTGCATTCTGCTTCTTTAGATCGTCAATATCTTGCTGGTGGGTGTGGTTTTTTCGTCTCATGTACTGGATGTACTCCGTGGCTTTGTCTAGAATCTGTGCTCGGGAAGCCTGTTTAACAGAATTCTGTCAAGCCCGTGTGAAAAAGCAGCCAATAAAGTGCATGAATCTGTTATACAAACTTCAGAGTGCAATTTAATCTGGATTAAAATAAGAAGTTAACAAGAACTATTCCAGGAGTCAGCGACCTCGGGCAGATGGGTCAACACTTGTTTTGTAGTACCGTATTAAACCAACAGCGCAGGCTGACCACAAATGTTGATGCCACAACTTTGCCGCAATGCAAACTTGAGCAACAGCGATTGTGTTTGTAAGAAATATGCAGTGTTAACACAGTATACAGATTACTAACCAGACTGAAAATCAGTGGCAGTGGGCAGTGATCAATTCAAATGAGAAATTTCTGGTCTAAATCATCTTCGGTATTAATCTGAGGTAAAAGAGTGAGTGCCTGCAGCAATCTGTAAAGGCGCTGTCATTATTTGGGCCTGCATTTCAGTCAGTGGTGTTTGGGATCCTGTCAAAATTCATGGAATTATGAATGCAGAAAACAATCATCAGATGTTTTTCCACCGTGCAGCCAACAGCTTCATTTTCCTGCATGACAATGATCCCAAACACACTGCATACCTGGATAGAAAACAACACAATCACAAGTCGGTGAAGGTTCTCAGTCATCCAGGTCATTGTAGTCAAAGGAGCTTGCAAAGAAAAGCGTCTGGACTTCTTTAAGTTACTTGAAGACGTTTCACCTCTCATCCGAGAAGCTTCTTCAGTTCTAAGGTCAAATGGTGGAGAGTCCCAGATATAAACCTAGTGGGAGTGTCCCCCCACAGAGGGACAAATGACCCCCTGATGATCCTCTAATCGCCTGAGCCAATGTGTGAAACTGGGTGTGGGTCCCAATCAGCCAGAGTTTCGGGTGAGCTCATTGTGAAACCTGGCCCCACCTTATCATGCAAATTCCTAAAGTCAGATGGCCCAGGGTGTGAGTGGGCGTTAAGGCGTCTGGGGAGGGAACTCAAAACTGGATTATAGATGGCAGAGAGTTGGTGTCGTAAACCACCGCCTCTGTTCAAAGATGGTCGCTCACAGTGGACATAGATGGCTTCTTTCACTCCTCTTCCAAACCATCTGTCCTCCCTGTCCAAAATGTGAACATTGGCATCCTCGAAAGAGTGTCCTTTATCCTTAAGATGCAGATGGACAGCTGAGTCTTGTCCCGTGGAGGTGGCTAAGCTTCTTCAGACCTTAGAACTGAAGAAGCTTCTCGGATGAGAGGTGAAACGTCTTCAAGTAACTTAAAGAAGTCCAGACGCTTTTCTTTGCAAGCTCCTTTGACAACACAATTACAACACTCTCAGTCGTGGATTGGCCTCCCCACAGGCTGGACCTCAACATTATTGAAGCAGTGTTGGATCATCATGACAGCAAATGTAACAAAAGAAAGCCAACATCCAGAGAAGAGCTTTCAATGAACTATTCCTGAAGACTACTATGAGAAAGCTGCCTAAGAGAGTTCAGGCTGTGCTAAAGAATAAAAGCTGTCATACCACATAGTGATTTTCAAGCTCATTAAAACTGTACAGACTCTGTTTTTAACTTACATACTGTACTTTCATGTATGTTTGCACGTGTTTCGACAGAATTTCCCATTTTCTTAGCAAAACATAAAGAAATGAGGGGTGGCTTTTAGATTTGCATAGCACTGCATATCTATTAACTCCAGGTTGAGCATTATCAGCTTCAGTTTCACTTGTGATGGCAGACCAGCGCAGGTACAAGTTAAAAGCAAACGAAGATGAAGCAGCTGGGATTCAACACAGTACTACAAATCAGGCTTAACAGAGGAGAAAATGATCTCCATGTTGACACAACAACTGTACATTAACTGCCTTTTGAACTTGAATAGTATTAAATATGAAATGGACAGCATAAGCAGAAACATCACTCTTCATCCAGCATTTATTTGGCAAAGCTGCCAGAGTTTACAGAGCTGCTTGCTTTGACAGCAGTGTCTACAAGCTTGTTAAAATCCACCAACGAGATGAATGATCTTGTGAATTATCAGACACGTCGTTGATATTTGGCGAGGCATCTGTTTCTACAAATAACAATTTCCTCCTTCCTCTAGGCATGACAGAGAGATGACGAGCATAGATCTGGATTCTGAGGCACAATATGAATGGTCTATGGCAATATATAGATAGTTTCCTCACCTTCTCCCCTTGTAATGCAGGCACAGAGTCTCGTAAACTGTGAAAGCTGTCTTTAATGTGGTCCCTGCGTTTACGCTCCAGCGCATTGTGATGTGCTCGCTTGTCTGCCTGCAAAAGGGACAGAGAAAGTTTAGGTCATTTACAAAAAAACGACATACGTCCGGTTCTTTACCATACAGAAGTGATTTAAACTGCAGTAAGAGAAGGCCTCATCTTTAGACGGTTATTGTGTGTATCTGTGTTAATATCAATATATGCACACAAGCAGGAACCTGTGCTGGAAGTATTTACAAGGACACGATATGTTTGCTTTGAGGGTTGCACCAGCAAATCTTAGTCGTAACTAAAATTCAACATTAACTCGGTCTCAGCTCTTCCTTTGCCTTTTTTTCTTAACACGGACTGGATGATAGATAAAAAATCCAAATTTGTGTCTTAAAACAAGGTGTTCTTTGGTTCGTGAGTCACTAAGAGTCATGTAAGACCCGTTTGTGGTTAATAACTAGCTTTTAAATGTAGTGATTACAAATATGTGTGAAAATTTTCCAAATGAAGAGATGGGGAGAACATGCAAACTCTATATGGAAAGGCTGCGGCTAGATTTGCACCCAGGACCTGTGTGTGTTCTCCCCATTTCTCTGTGAATGTGAGCGCGAAT